TTAACTTGCATTCGCCTCGTGTCTCTGTAGTGTTGCTGTAATTCGTTATTCTAGTAATCTTGGAACCAGTCCAAATACTAGTCAGCGATTGCCCTCTGAATGGCTGAGTGACTTTTGTTGCTATGTCATCAATCATTCCTGTCAAATGCGTTTCGCTTCTTATAACTCTTTCTTTAGGAAGCTAATTGGCTCTCTTTGCATTCGTATGACAGGGTTGCAGCCTGATTCTCTTCTACAAAGCTTCCCTGGTCTAAATTTTGGGTTCAGGAAGAGGAGCACTCAACCGGAGTGAATAGGCGCCTTAGCCACTTTTGATGCTCTAAATGACGCCAAAAGAAAGGAAAAAGCGGGTAGCTGCTTCGCTACAGAAGCAGGCTGCAAAGAAGGAGAAAGTCAGTCTTATTCACTATAAATGTTCGGATTGAACAGTTTTCTTCCAGGGAGGACTAAACACTGTTGCCCTCGTTTGCATAAGTGCAGCTGTTGCAATCATCGCTTATGTGACCTATACAGAATTCTACGCTGCTCGTCCATTACTCAAGCTTCATCCTCGAATTGTTGGACCTCCTGTAGAAAATGTAAGCTATTCTGCCCTTTTTACGGTCATTTGATTTTTGAAATCTATGTTGTACCGTTCAGAAGAAATGGGGTTCATATCGTTCTCACACTTACTTCGGCTTACGCACAAAAGATCCGCGATCACCCCTGTTTGGAGTGATGTGGTACGAACAGCCTGATGTTCTGCAAATGCCTCATATGCGACATTGGTGTGATCAAGGTTGGAATTACGGAAACATGAAAGGATTTAAGCTTTCTAGAGTGGTTTAGGCGATGATCTGAAACATTATGGTTGGTATGCAGCTGACGGTCGCACGTTTGGCCGCCAAAATGTCACTGAACATTATGGAACGTTGAGTTTCGATTGGATCAATCAGGGCGAATCGTTTACGGCAAGAATTCGTGCGGACACCAACACGAGATACACTATAATAGTGTACTTGGTCGCTCAGGTGAGTCCTTCAGAAGTTTGGAATTTTGATTCTCCAAGGAAAAATGTAGACTTGGGACGTAAATATGTGGCTGCAATCTCTAAATCT